TTTTCCTTAGTGTTGAATACAATTGTTATCTAAACATAAATACAGTTAATCCTTAATTCTGATGGGGAAGTACTATATATGAAAATCTCCGTACCCCAAATTTATCTAAACATCTAGAATACTCTATAGTCTTTATATGTTTCATATGTACCTATATGACACATTCTAAAAACCATTGGAAATAAGAAGTAACAGACAGGTAATAGAGATAAGGTGGATAAGCCCATTTGGCATTGTGTGCATGTGTACATGTGTGTACAAGGCACTAGGGCAGCCAAGGAGTACTATGCAACAGGGACACTAACAGTATACTTATTTGTTTATTCTCTAAGTTTTCCCAAAGTAAGTTATTCTGTAGCCTACTTAGAGATGAAAGGTGAGGAAAAAGCTTTCGGATAATTCAAAAGAAGGATTTTTGGAACGGTCTTTCTTGGCATAACCCCTATATCTTAAATAATTTTCAAATTTCTTACCTGACTCAGCCTATTCTATTTATCACTCACTATGTAGAGTACATTTCTTGATTGCTGAATGTGTATTCCCTGTTCTTCCAATGAAGGATCCTTTGCAATGGTGAACACAGCTTTTGAATTCCATGAGCTAATGTTGACATATTACTTTTCAGCAAAACACAGCATATTGCTCCAAGTACTCCACTTTTCTTAATGTCAGTTCTCTTAATTTTATAAACTGTTTTACAGGAAACTTCATTTGCTGTCACTCTTTCTTTGCTATTTGTCCTCTGAGTCTAAGCTCTGAGTGAGCACTGAGCTGGATGTACACACCTGCAGATGTGGTGCCATCCCACACTTTAGCTGACATCAGCCACACACTCACACTCACCACTAGAAGAGGCCCACTCCCCACGATACTCACTCCAGTCTGAACTACACTTTTACTGCATGACAGCATATCATTTTAAATAATGGCCTCCACAGCAATTAGTTCCCTAGCAATTACTGACTCTGCATTCCTTATTTGACCAGCTGAAAAACCAAGAAATTATTTTTAAATCTACAAAATCCCAATACTGACATACTATAAACTTTCCAAAGTGATAAATGTGCCGAGAGCTCTTAACACAATAGTTAGTTTTTCTCCCCTTTAGGCTGATGGCATTTCCACATATCTTGAAATTGCTCATGGGTTTACAAGTAGAAGGGAACAGGGGAGACGTCTCTTAGTTAACCAGAGAGGCAAGATTCACAAAGAGAAGAGAAAGAAGAAGAGTCATGCACTCTCAGGAACAGAATCCATCATTCCTGTGGGGCACTGGCCTCAGGAACCTTGGCAAACAGAGCCCACAGATGATCAGGTCCTTCTGCAAAATGATGCTGTGTTGCAAATAACCTTGGCATAGTGCCACAAGCTATATTCATCTTTAGATTACCCTAATACCTAGATCAGTGTTGATGCTAAAACAGCTGTTGCTGTACTGCATTGCTTAGAGCATAATGATGATAAAAACATGTCTGTACACCTTTAGTAGAGAAGGCATCTTTTTCTCAAGAGCTTTAGAAAGTGTTTGATGGGAATCTATGAATGTGAACTCACGAAACAGACAATGATCCTACATTTTGTTTTTCAATTCTAAAAAATTACAATTCATTAGTTAACCTCTTTTTATATGTGTATGTTGGGGAACACACATATCACAGCATGACTATAGAGGTCAGTGGGCAATTTATAGAAGTTAATTCTTTCCATCATGTGGGTCCTGGGGATTGAACTCAAGTCCTCAAGTTTGGTGGCAAGTACCTTTATCCACTGAGCCATCTCAACCAGCCTAGAAGCTGATCTTTCAATTAAGAATATGGGGGCTTATTACATCTGCATTTGTGGCAATGCAAGGTTTGTATATCCAGAAAAATAATGATGTTTAGTGAATCCTATGAGCTGTCACAGAAAAATTACTTCATGATCTAATGGTCATTAAGTTTGGATAAGAGATCTGTACACGTTAAACTTATTAGATTCTCTTTTGTATTTGTTCTTTGTCCTTAGCTGAGGCCAATAGAGGAAATCCTACCACCAATAACATGACTCGCATTCCCAGTGACCTCAACAAATCCCTGAGGGGAAGCAGGCTAGGGAAGCTGAGTGTGTGAGCTTCCCCCAGTGTCTCTATGCCAAGCAAACACAGAAACCTAGTCACACATTTGTCTTTTAAGTGTGAGGGTAATGGGGCCATGCAGTTAAACAGGGATCAGCCTTTTTGCTTGCAGCAAGCTGACCTGAAAGTTCAGCCTATCTGTTGCTTAGCAAACTGTGCAGGCAGACTGAACACCTGGAAAAGATAGCCTTGCAAGCAGCAGTTCTGTCTGCTGCAGCTTCCTCTCCTGTTTCCCTTCAAGGGAGCACCAACGGCTTGCACTTGTAAAGGCTGAATATCAAAATGCCAGGGCCCATCATTACTGGCTATAAGAGAAGATTGCAAGGCTAGGGTCTCAGGAAGTGGGTAATGAGCTGGGCATCACCCAGGCTTAGCTGGAGAGCAATTGCAGCCTGGGCACACTGTTATTTGAGCTCCTCTCTGCAATTTCTTCCTTTTAGATAATTTTTACTCAATCTCCAACCCCTGTGCTTATCCTGATGCTGGTTTCATGCCACTACTGACCCACTCCTAGAGAACTCAGACCTCTCTCCTGTAATTTTCAGCTTTACTTACAGGCAGAGGTTGGCCTGTAGGTCAAATCAATAGAGTTACAAGGGAAGGCCTATTCCTTCTCATTTTATCAGACTGTTTATTTACCATTTATTATAGGGAGTTACAAGGGAAGGCCTATTCCTTCTCATTTTATCAGACTGTTTATTTATAAATTATTATAGGATCCTGATTGAATTGGCTTGCTCAAACTCTTAAAATACAGTGGTTTTTGGGTATTTGAAGAATATAGCTTACCCCTCCACTTGTGACAATTTGACAGGAACAAACGATAAGAAATCCTCAACATGGAAAAGCAAGGGAGACAGATGCACTCTCTCAATATGTTATGAAGCCTCCAGATGACCTTTTGTCACCGAGTGGGGGGCTTAACATAAGGATTGTGCATGCTAGCTTAAATGGTGTTGAAAAGAATTGTCACTGAAAAAAATGGGGTTACAGTAATTTCTCAAAGAATTGAGAGTCAGCTTAGCATGTCCAGAAGCAGTCACATGTTGGGAAGCCAAGTCTGAGTTTGAGATTCTGGTCTCTATGGAGGAGTGAGGTGGTGATGAATTCCAGGGTTTTATTTCCCTTCAATATTTCATGGATAGGAAAATATTCCAGAGAAACCACCTAGAATTTCAGAAAAAAATCATCCCCCCTCCAAAATCCTATTCAGACTCCAGCAAATTAAAAAAATACAGACACTTAACTCACTTCTGCTGCCAGAACACTGCGTGAAAAGTTGTAAAGTGAGAATTTTGGAGAGTAAGTGCCGGTTCTTTGCCAAAACCAAATGTCCAGTCCTTAAGAAATAGAGTATGTTTAAAGTGACTTCACATTTAGTCTTGTCAAAAAAGAAACCCAAAGGTTCATGGGAACTTGGCTACCATCCCGTGAAAAGACTAAGGTGGGCGGCCACCCAAAGCTATGGCACCCTATTTGGAGGTGGTGTTTTGCTTCCTTTTACAGTGCAAGGCTTTCCATGCCACAGACACACTGTATTAGGGCAGCACTAATCTTGGCTCCTGTCTCCTTACCAGGAAGGCAGCTACAAACGTCGAGGAGCCATTAGGGTACTGGGGATGAACTAGCCCATTCTCACATCAAGGCCCAAGCTTCCTCAACCTCATGCCTCTTCCTCTTCCATCCCACCTGCTAGTGCTGCACTCTAGTTGCAACCAGGCAGAAGAGTTTTGCATCATTCCCAGCGGAGGAATGCAAGACTCCTTTTGGGAAATGCTGATGTCCTTACTCCAGGTCTATTTTCTTTGTATCTTCATGCAGGGAGAACCTCAGAGAACAGACCCTCAAATTCCCCTTAAAAAAATCCTTGGAACAGATGAGTGTGGAACTTATGAATTTGTTTTCAGAAATGGTGTTAATTGCAGGCATAATACAAAACCTCCAGTAAGGGAAGAGCCAGCAGGTCATCATATGCATGAATACTGAAGAGAGGCATCTTCAGTGTGTGGGATGGGGACAGACAGAAATGGCGAGAAATCAGCTTATCACATAAATCTGGGTGTTAAATTTACAAGAGAACTTTCCTTTTTCTCGACATTTTAGGTTTTGAAATTGAAGCAAAGAGGTTTTGCATCTGTACAAGGTTTTCACAAATGGACCCATCTGTTTTGAGAGAAGAGGAAGTGCCACATACAAACTGCTTTGGGGTCCTTTCTAAAGGTCTGTTGAACAGTTTGACCAAATGGCCCAGGAGCAAAGCTGTGCAGTCCTTGTCTGTGGGGTCCTGCCACATGTGACTTTGACAAATCCTGTTCTATTGAGCCAGTCTGTGACAGCACTGTTGCCCTGGACTCTGAGCTGCCTTTCTGAGTTATAGAGAAGGGGACCAGAAAGGGAGGTGGTAGTAACCTGTCTAAGGCTTACAGGAGCATTTCCGGACTAAAAGAAAAACCATTAGGACAAGACTGTTGCAGCCAACTGGCTAATACTGGAACTCCACAAGGAAGGAATCACACTGCCTGCTTTTCAAAGCATAGCTAAACCCCAGACTTCTCTTTGAATGAGTTTTGCTTCTTTATTGTTTTAGTTTTTTGTTTGTTAGTCTGAGACAGGGTCTCATAATATATCCTTTGTTAGGTATCTTGTGCTGACCTAGTCTCAAACTTGCAATCCTCCTACCTCAGCTTCCCAAGTGCTAAGATTACAGGTGTGAGCCACTATTCCTGCCAATAAAAAATGTTTGAAACCCAAATCACTGACAAATTAAACACTGGCATGGAAAGTTATCTCCTCGGCTATTGACTAAAGAGTACATATACTGGGGAAGGGAGAAAGTTCTTAGAGATAGGGGCTTGTCACCAGTGAAGACAGAGAGATCAAGGCTTACTTGGCTTCCAGGGCCAGGGCAATGATGCCAGCAGCCATGGGGGCTGAGGCCGATGTCCCAGTATGATTGTCCGTGCATCGTTGCCTTAGATCAGTAGTGATCTGAAAAACAAAAGTGAAAAAATTTAAGCCCTGTGGACATCCTGGGTCATAGCAAGAAGTTTTCTCACAAAGTAGATGGAGAGGAATATGAGATAAATTTTAAATTCAATGTTTCCAGACCTCTGTGACCATTTGTTTTCAAAGAATTGTCTGACTAAACAAACTTGACTGGAAACCAACTTCATTAAAAGCAGAACAGGAACAGGGCAAACCACAGCTCAGAACCTCAAGGTCATGCACATATCTCCTGAGAGTCTGGAGTATATGTACCTTGTGTGCCCCACCTCAGTTCCACTTTGGATTAAAATGGAAAATTTTCAATTGACACATGTTTTAAACTAATTAAATGTGTTAAATGAACACCCAGACACCACACCTGGTGTCAGTAGATGAAAGGATGAACTATATATCTCCAAATTATAACTTTTGGGGAGTAACAGGTCTCAAGAAAAAGTCCCTGCACACAAGTGACCTTTGCTTGTGGATTTTTCTGGAATTCATAAGAATGTTGTATGGATGAGTTAAGGCTTCCTTAAAGGCTTGACATGGATAGAAAAAGCAAGGATTGAGTTCCTGTACCGCACACATAGCTAAGGCAGCATCTGCGTCTATACTATATACAAGAGATTAGCTACTTTTCCATTTTTACCTTGCAATCAAAATGTGAAAACTAGATCATTTTATTTTCTTGGCTTGATTCTAGTTCACTTCAGCTCTGACTGAATTCTATTACCATTCATCAGAGGCAATGGTTCCCAGTCTGTGTTCCATTATTGTCTCACTAAGAAAGAAAATTAAATTTAAATTCTCCTTAACAAGAAAAATTAAGTACTATAGAATATGACTCTAGAAACCATTGTAATACTCCTCAGATTAAAAAAAAATACCTCCCTCCTGGACAGAAATCCATTTAGTTCCCTTGGGACTGATTTTATGTTTGATGAGGAGATGAATCAATGGACATGCTGCAGTCACTGGATGACATCAGCAAACCTTTCTTTGGCACGAAGACAAGTGTGTCACCACATATTACAGACAAGAGAGCTGATGGGAAAATGGAGCAGAAAGACATCGAGGCCAGGCAGCAGAATGCACAGCCTTTGTTTTTTCTAAGAGGACTGAGATGAGCTGAAATCAGTTTAGGAAGCAAGTGGACACCCCACCCCCACAATCACCCTTATAGCTTTCTTCTATGTCACAGGAGGTTGAAGGGAATTTTCCATTGTGTTATAGAACTAGAGCAGCATCTTAGCCCACTCAGTTTCCCACAACAGAGCATGCCGATCGTCTCTTTGCTACCAGATGACCCGGATCACATAAGTATGTACACTGACACAAAAGAAGTGGGAAAATAAATAATTAGAAACACACAGATATGGAAATGTAAGAGAAAAGAACTGTATTCATCTAGATGTAAAGAAACTCCCTAGGCATTTAGTTGACTTTAGAAAGGTATAACATAAGTTAACACTCCTGGCAATTTTTGTGTGTATGGCATTGTTAACTACAACACCACTGTCTTGGGTCTCTAGGACTTTCTCATCTGCACAAACAGAGTAACAACTGCTCTGATTCTTGCCTTCAATCACTGTTATGATTCCTGTTGTGATTTGTTTAATTAAGTACCTCACCTAAATGAGATCATTTAGAATGATTGGATTAATTCAGGTACAAGGTATCCGGAAGCTTCATCGACACTGTAACACAAGACAGAGCCCTTCTTTAAAAAACAAAACAAACAAACAAACAAAGAAAACTGTGGGCCTCTGGCAGTGGAACCAGTATTTACATGGGGATCAGTGGGGGGCATGGGAGGGAAGAGGGAACTGGGATTGCTATGTCAAATAAGATTATATATATATCCAATACTCCATTGTGCTATACTTTCCTAATCCCTCATCTGTTGATGGACATTGGGCTTGCTTCCACCTTTGCCTCTAAACAGTGTTCCAAATGTATACAAAATGCAGAAAACTTTTGGAAATCTGATTTTAAGTGCCCTTGAATATAATACCAGAAGTGGGGTTGCTGTATCATTAAAAGAAGCATATTTGGGGGTAAAGAGATAGCTCAGTGGGTAAAACACTTACTATGTAAACCTAGCAAACTAAGTTTGATCTCTTAACATTATGTAATGGTAGTCGAAGAGAACTAACTGCTCCCACCCTCACACAGCATATGCCCACAATAATAAGTAAATTTATAAAAAGGCATTTCTACCCCACTTTTTTTTTTTTGGTTTTTCGAGACAGGGGTTTTTTTGTGTAGTTTTGGAGCCTATCCTGGCACTCACTCTGGAGACTAGGCTGGCCTCGAACTCACAGAGATCCACCTGCCTTTGCCTCCTGAGTGCTGGGATTAAAGGCTTGTGCCACCAACTCCCGGCCCCACTTTCTATCATAGGGGGATTCCTAGTCATTTTCGGAGGTACAGGTGAGTCCAAGCGTGAATGCACAGAAATGGCTTGTTTCTAGGTCTCCAGAATCTTGCTTTTGAGAGATGATCTTGAGAGACAAAATTTTTAGTATTTTCCTTCATCCCATGGTCATATTCCTTTGTGTGTCATTTTTTTTCAATGAATTGTGGCTGGATTCAGCCTTTTCATTATATTTCCCTACTTATTCTTCAGCTGTAGCAGACACTTTCAATGCACAGACTTAGGTTCACACTAAACACACTGAGAGTATGTTCAGCATTGTTGAACCTCACAAATTGCCAGCTCTGCCCAAACATGAACAGGAAATAATTTATGATGTAGGTTCCATAGCACAAATATGCCTCATCCTTTTACAGTCACCAGACACATACACATATATACTTATAGAAAAGCTACTAAGAACTGTAACAGAGAGATACTAATGGTGTGTCAAATTCTATCGATTCTGACAAGTATGTGTGCAATTTAAGTCATTGTTGTTCTCTAACTTTTTCAGTCACCTGAACTGCATGAAAGGAGTTGGAGGGCAGAGGAACAGGAAGGTGATGGGAACTTGGAGGTTAAAGGATTCAGGGAAAAGAAGAAACAAAAACACCCTCTCCCTTCTCTGCTCTAAGTGGAATTCCGGCTGGTTCATTTCAATAGGAAGTTACTGTCAGTGGAAGAGATGTTCAGGTGTAAGTTACCAGGAGCATCTAAGGTAAGGTCTCACCATTAAAAGAAGCCAAAATACTGAGAAATATTTATGTCTATCTTCAGAAAGAAAAAACAAAGATCACGATAGAATGTGCAATCTAAGAGAAAAATGATGGTTTAAAACCAGAACAACCTGGGGGTAATCCCACTCATCATAAGGCGCAGGAAACAGAACATAGGATCCACCAATGCACCTCGAAGGAAATTGGCATCCAGTGTGCAGCCCACAACATAGGGCGGATGCGCTCCTGCATCAGACTCCCTCGAGAATGTCTCAGAATTTGGTCTCAATCCCAGTGGCAGTCTCGCCTGCTCCAAATTCCCTCAATTCACCACCCAAATCAGAAACAGAATTTGTATCCAAAGAACTGAAGTTGCTCAAGAAAATATCATTTGCATCCATCACTGAGAAGGAAACTGGAGAAGACACGGGCCCTGAGCACATCAAAGCTATCCTGATGGGCAAATTAGATTTCCAGCCTCATAGGATCAGTAGCAGATGGGGTTTTGGAGTCCACAATGTTAGGGTTGCCATCTTTTCCTGGTGAGCCAGGCAGGGTATTGTTCAGCCCCAGCCATGATCCTTGAGAAGAACCATCACTTTTCTCACTGGACTTTTATTTCCTAATACTTCACAGTTCATTATTGGAGCTGATTGGGCTTTTGACTGTTGCCTGATACCATTCTCCAGGGAATCCCAGTGCAGACTGATTTGCGCCCTAAGTGACAAGCTTTTACGGCAACCTACAGCAAGTGTCCTGTCTCCCTGATACCCTGTGATCCTTTTTATTTTGAAGGTGCCAGATTGCCTCATACCTGTTAAAAGAGTAACTGAAAAGATATTTTTAAAACATGAGATGATTTTTGCTGTCTGTTAGGCTGAATTTGTTCCTAGTGCTGACTTGAATTTGGGTTGGAATTGCATTTGTTGAGCTACGTTAGACATTAGCAATTGTGGCGAAGGACAGAGACAATGAGCTAGGGGTAGCTCATTATTAAGCACAAGGACATGAAAAGAAAGAGAATCACTGAAAGATTTCTGTGCCCAGAGATGTCACCAAGATTGGTACAGAATTCAGTGAGTAGGAATAATTCAGTATAAAACACCAACCACTTCCATATTACTAAGAGACCCTAGAGATGTGGAGTGCAAGGGATGAGGATGCTTCTCTAAACAGGGAACCTATCCTGAGTCATCTGTATACCCCATAATGTACAGCTGAGCTCCACATTGCAACAGAAGTATTTCTTTGCTAAATGGAACTGAACTGCTTGCATCAAGATCCCTTAGACCTTGCTTCATTTTACACTCTGAACTTTTCCATTTATTTAGAAACACTGCTAGGTCACTTATCTTTTGACTATTCAATCAGGACTCCAAGAAACTTAGGATCATCCCAGAAAATGTGTGTCATGTGTGTATTAATCTCAATCCAAGGATTATCCAGGTGGTGGGGCTACACACCTTTAATCCCAGAATTTGGGAGGAGAAGCCGGCACTCTCTGTGACTTTGAGGCCAGCCTTGTCTACAAAGTGAGTTCCAGGAGAGCCTGACTCAAAAAACCAACCAACCAACGAATAAATAAAACCAAAACCAACCCAAGGATTACAGTGTAGTCATTAACCTCACAATTCCAGCTCCAAGGCTTCTCCTCCAACTACCACCATTAGCAACTGATGGTAAATGAGGAAATAACCTGGGTGTAGAACATTCCACATAGCCACAGGATGTTTGCAAGGAAAGTATTATATCATTAACAGCTAAGGAAGAGGAGGTTCAGCAAGGCTAATTATCATGTTCCAGGATGCACAGCTACAAAGCAGTTAATAAGTGGGGAAGATATTAAATCCTGAACCAGCAATGTA